ATTTTAGTATACCAGTGTGAGCTCATCTGAATAACACCTTTGGTGAAAATTGGGTTGGAAGAGGTGGACCAATTTACTGTCCATCTACATCTCCTGACCTAAATTCAATAGATTTTTATTTATGGGGACACCTTAAGATGATGGTTTACGCTACTCTCATTGAAACAGTAGAGGAATTAAGAAATAAAATCGTAATTGCTTGTGAAGAAATAAGAAACATACCTCTAATTTTAGCTTGAATTCATCGTTTAATGATTCATTGAGTGAGAAGGTGTATGGAAATGGCTGGTGGACATTTCCAACATTTGTCGTAGTGTACTTTATGTCATGGTACCTATTGGAAAAGTTACAATAACACTCTTTCCTAGAAATTTTTTTGATTATTTGTTTACCAAGACTTGCGACCTTTCTAGCAAAAATTAATAAACCAATTTTGTCCAGTGACATGCAATAAAATGGTTTTTTTTTCTCAAAAACGCAGTAAGATATGAAAAAAATACTAAAGGCAAAGAAGTTGTATTTTTAGATGCTTATTCAAAAAACTTGAAAATATTTTCCAGGTTTTTAGCGCATATCGTAAATATTCCATTTCTCACTTTAAAATGAAAGATTATGATGTAACTTTTACGAAAATATCAATTTTTCTTTAAGAAATCCTCTACTTGCTATTTTATAGAACTCAAAGTTGCATTTTTGGTGGTAATACTCTAGAATAGAATTTGGTTTTATACGCTGGTTTTTTTTGACTTTTTGCACAAAAGGATGCTCCAAATTATAAGAATATAACATACACTGTATAGTACTAAGGAAAATAGATGTGAAACTGTAAAAAATCGTTGGTTTTTCGAAGAAAAAACTTAAAAACTAGCCGTATAATAAGCTAAAATAATAGTTCAAATATACATACCTAAATGATTGTATTTACTTGGTAAGCTTTGTAGAGGTGTTGTGTTGTGATTTTTCAATGTCTTCTTGACATTCCTTAACCATTTTTTTGCGTATTTTCAATGAGGTTAAACTTTTTGCGTTTATAAAAAATATTTGAAAGTACAAACAATTCTCAATGGCCATTTTATAACGTTCATTTTTTGACAGATTACAGATAAGACAAATGATGTCCATTGTTGCCAAGTTGTCCTTTTTTGGGAGAAATACGTAATAAAAAAATGAGGTTATTTGCAAAATAAAAGTCTTAATTTATTCTAAATGGCTTATTTGATAAGAAGTTGTCCCAATATTTACTGAAAATTATATGAAATTTTGAACAGGATGTGTCTAAACTGTGGAAAATGCACCAGCGGCTCGCGTGACAAAAAATACAAAAGGCACCAGCGGTTATTGCATATAAAAATACCCAACTTCGTATTCGTCGATTTGGACCATGTCGCCAGGTCCACCCAACATATCATCGTCCAACATTATAGTTAAATAAAGATCAACAACCATTTCATCAAATCATGAAAAAACTTCCAATGCTCTTTGTTATGTTTTCATTATTTAGTAAAAAAATGTCTTCAGCTAACGCTATCGTAGGGCACGAGGTAGATTTAGTACAGTAAAACCTGCTGGCCACACCTGCAAATCGCATTTTCATGACCATCCTATATACTGATTGCACATTTTTGCGCTAGTATAAATATAAGTAAGAATTTTACAAACCAAATCAAGGTATATTACTATCCATGATTTCGCAACATCGCAACTAAATAGAGAAATTATGATAGTGGTGTAGTGATGGGAATATTTATCTGAAATAAAAGAAGACTACTTAACAATGATCTATTTTCATCATTAAAATAATGTAAAATTGCATTATTGCGATAAATAGTGTCACAGTAATCTACATACAGTTTATGTTATATTCATATAATTTTGAGCAATCTTTTGTGTAAACAAGAAAAAACCCGCTTCCTTAAAGAAAGAATGATATTTTCGCACAAGTTACATCCTAATCTTTCATGTACTCGGCTTGAACTGTTAATGCAATTTATATACGTATATGAAATCCTAGCTCAAATTAAGCCAGGAGAAAAATGAAAACGGTTCAGGGTTAATTCGTATTTCTGTCTCTAAAAATATCTTGAATTGCCAAACTATCTAAGTAACATTTTATTAGTTACCCAAATGCGCAACTTTGTCTTCAAAAACCGTATTGTATTGCTTACCGTTTCCGAAATTGAAATCTCTAGTGCATATACATAATATACATATATAGTGCTTTTAGCAAAGCTGAATTAAAATTCGACGTGGATTTCAACTAATCCTAGTAATTTCTCATGCAATGCGTGTTGGCTCAGCTTGGGCAGAACCCTCAACGAACATTTTTGTCATAGTTAATTTATATAAAAAATCACTTCATTTAATTTCGTGGGGATTGAGAGGATGAGGACAGCTCATTCAAAAACGTTCATGAACTACAATATGTACAGCGAGAGGGAAAAAGTGAGTCACTGACAGCTCCAATTTTGACGATTCGGACGAATTGCAAGCATAAATATTGGATATTACTAAGCCACGAAATAATAAAGCTAAAAAGCATGGCAATACGTTACCGATGTGCACATAAATATTGCGGCAGATGATGCAGATTTTTTTTTACATTTTTCCATCTGCAGATGCTCTATGCCATGGTCATGTTCTACGCCCACTAGATTTCCGAGGGCCACACCATCCTTGGCGACAGAATTGGCATCATACGAATACGTATATACCCTATTTCACGAGTATTCATCATGGTAGAATGACAGCTGATTATCTAGTAAGATCTCAAAATTCCCCATATCGGCACATCCATCAAAGTCAGAGCTGTATTTTGTTTTCGTTTTTTGTACACTACAGATTCATTTTGTACTTGCTAACAGCTCTTTTATTTAGAAAAGTACATTTGCATAAAAAACAAAGCGCTACAAATAAGTTTTACTAGATTTACACCCGATTCATTATTGCCAACGTTGCAGGCTAACACAAAAATGTCACTTGCTGGATACTCGTGAAACAGGGTATATCCCTTACTCAGTTTAACCTCCTTTGTAACAGGTGTCAAATGATCTCCTCATGAACTGGCCCTCCCTGACATCACTGTCACTGACAGGTAAGGCCAATAACAACCTTGCACGGGTGGTTGATTTTATGCGGTTCTGAATTCCAAATGTCAACCCATGAATATAACCCTTTCCTATTCTTTTGCGCCTTTTGTATTTGTTTTGTGCCGTCTGTCATTTATAATTTTCCGTAAAAAGATATCAGATGACTATAGGCGGAGAACTACTGAGTTTCTATGTCATGCATTGTTTTTTTGTGTGCAGAATTTAAACAGTAATTAGGTACTTTGTTAAGATCACAGTGAAGCATTTACTTATATGAAAATTATAATAAAACAATTTTAAGCGATGAACTGTGATAAACCACGGTTATTCCTTGGTTATGCCTTCAATTATTCTATCATTTGCCTATTCTGACACAGAATACAGAGCTGAGAACAGTAGTTGTACGCCTATTGTCATCTGATATCTTTTTTCGCTGATATTTTTTACAAAAAATTATAAGTTACAGACGACACAAAAGAATAAGAAACGATTATGTTATATCACAGCCTATAATAGTCTTTTTCACGAGTATCCATTACAGAAGAATGACACCTGATAATCTAGTAATATTTCAAAATTCCCATATCTGCTAAGAACGCATAATTCTGACGGTTCCGTCCATGTCAGGTAGACAGAGCCATATTTTGTTTAGTTTTTTGTAAGCTACAAATTCAGTTTGCTTTTTTATTTAGAAAAGTTCATTTGTATATAAAAAACAAAATGCGACAAACAAGTTTTACGAGATTTGCACCCAATTCATTATTGCCAACAATGCAGACTAACACAAAAATGTCACTTACTAATCAGCTGTTCACCTCGGTAGACGTCACAGCGTGATGCATACTCGTGAAATAAGGGATAGTTGTCGTCGGCTGTGGTTGTATTCATGGGTTGACATTTGACATTCAGAACGCATAAACCTTATTTCACGAGTATCCATCACGCTTTGAGGACTACTCAGGTAAACAGCTGATCAGCAAGTGACATTTCTGTGTTAGTTTGCAACGTTGGCTATGATGGATCGGGTGTAAATCTAGCAAAAATTTGTTTGTAGCGTTTTGTTTTTGTCTGCAAATGATCTTCTCTAAATAAAAGAGCTTTTAGCATGTACAAAGTGATTCTGTAGCGTACAAAAAACCAAAACAAGATATGGCTCTCTCCACCTGGCATTGACGGATCCGTCAGAATTATGTGTCCTTTGCCGATATGGGGAATTTTGTAATATTACCAGATAATCAGCTATGCTGGATACTCCTGAAATAGGGTGTAGAATCCACCACCTGTGCAAGGTTGTTATTAGTCTTAACTGTCAGTAGCAGTGTCGTCACGAAGAACCAGTGCGTGACGTAACTATCAGTAATAGTGACGTCACGAAAGGCCAGTTCGAGACGTCAGCACTTGACAGCTGTTACAAACCGCCTCGCTTAAAATGAAAGAGTTAAAACCAATACGACCGTTTATGATTGGTAGATCACTAAAAATTGCTGATAATACCCGTACCCACTCTTTCTGTGAATGTCATCATTGTCAAGGTGTTTATACCTTTTAAAACCTATATAATTGTCAACAATATTCTGCAACTAACCTATTTGCGGGCATTTTTCATCTCATTTCCATCATTTACAACACAAACCTAATATATATTCTGACGGAGAAACCAATACGGCTAAACTAAAAAAGGCACTTATCAAATGTATAAACAAAACGTGATGTTAGCCAAGTCCTTTAGATTGACTGTGTGCCATACAAAGTAATGTTTCACGAAAAGTGATAACAGTATCAAATAGACGACCAACAAAGAATTATGCAATAAGGACTTTGAGAAAAATACCACACGTTATATTTAAAAGCTAAACATGCTACTGCGTCAGTTTACGCCTGCCTGTTTATTATTTAAAATGTGAAAATACCTACCTATGGATTATTTTATCACAAACACTACAGACCACGATAATAACTTCACATGAATAGTTTATTGCAAGTATTTCATCAATTTTACTTAAATTAATTCGTATTTGTGTATCTCCGCAAGGTTAAGAGCCAAAATCACAACACTGAGCCAAAATACTCAAAATAGTGTACCACAAAACATATACACGGAAGAACGTACAGTCCCGTGTTATAAGGGAAACACGATGGACATATGCCAATGTCAAGCCGCCATATCTTTTTGGTGCCACATGGTTGCTAAATTGTGCAGCAAGCCACACGCGACGTTGCCAGCTATTTACATAAATATGAGGCTGTTATTTTATAATGCACATTTCTAGTGGCAATAAAGATTTTATACCGCCATTTTTATTGAAGTTTTGGGAACAGTCAAATACTTGAGAATAAGTATTTCTATAATTTTTATAATATTATATGATCAAATCAATAATATTTATGGTTCATTCCTGTTGTGTCTTCTGTAGCACCTACATAGAAAAATTGTGAAAATTAGTTGTGGTAACAAATTCTTATAAAAAAATCGATATTATTATTAAGGACTGCAATATTACGTAGAGTGCCAAGGTTCTACTTTTCATAAGGATTATGATGCAGGAATATCCAACCATATCGCCATTATATTCATGATCAGAATGGTCAATTTTGGTGCAAAACAATTACAAAGTTTTTTTAATTTACAGTCCCACTAAAATATATCACACTTTGTGCAACATTTAACATAACTCAAGCATGTTGACTGTGAATTATCAGACCAACCACGGAATATGAGCATAGCATATATGTCGACTGCGTTGTACTGACGGAAACGTGGGTTGTATCGAACAGTGAGCTTTATAAAATTGCGGGATATGAACTCATTTATAATGAAGTTGCAGTCAATCAAAACGACGGTGTCATGGTATACATAAAGTCGGACTACAATTACAGATTCGAAATAATACCGTTAAATAACAATAAAGTCATAAAGCTTACTGTGAAGGTAACCGATTCCGATGACGTCAGCTTGGTAGCAATTTACACATCTCCCGACAGATCCTAATGAGTTCAACAGTAATCTGTTTGAATTCCTTCAAAATCACAATACTAGGGATGCTACATATTCCCTCGTCGTTGGAGATATTAATATAGATATTTTGAAAAATGAAAGCTATTGCTCAGATTATCTCAATACATTAAGCGAGTTTGGCTACCAGTCATTAATGAATAATCATACGCGAGTTCCGCATAATAATGGGTCATGTATTGATCATATATTCTCTAAGTCAAAATATGACATAACGGATCAAATAATACCCTTCATCGTACAAACTGATATCACAGATCATTATGCAATAGGATGTCAGATGGTACTTCATTAACATAATAAAAAATCAAACAAAAATGAGATGAGATACAAAAAACATACTAATCTAAATAAATTGAAATCAACTATAGAAAACACTTCCTGGAATGCCATCTTTTTAGACGATGATGCTGATTCAGCATCTAACGCATTTGTAAAAATCATTTCTCGAGCCATAGATGATTCTTCATTTTTTTAAAAAAATGTAAGGAGAAACACAAAAATAGCACCATGTATCACAAACGGCATCGTTAAATCTATAGACACTAAAAATAAACTATTTAAGCGCACACGAGATAACCCAGATGATACGGAGCTTCGATCACAATACAATACTTACAAAAATAAATTAAGAAACTTAATAACAAAAGCAAAACGCGACTATTATCAAAATCAAATAGTAACCAACTCAGCAAACCAAACCTCTCTTTGGAAATTGGTAAGAGAGATAGCTCAAAATAAAAAGAAAAAGGAAAATGTAACAACGATGAAGACGGATTCCGGACAACTTCTAATAGATCAAAAACAATAGCAAACGAGTTCAATAATGTGTTCAGTGTAATAGGACCAGCAAAATTAATAGTGACCCAAATTTTCGTCCACGTAATAAAACATTCCTAAAATCATTTGTTCTTCTCCCAACAAATATTGAAGAAATGAAGCACATCAGGAAAGATCTCAAATCAAAAAAATCTCCCGGAAACGTTGAAATTCGCGCTGAAACCATAAAGTTCATTTCCGAGCATATTGCAGAACCACTAACATACATCTTCAACTTCTGTGTAGCACAAGGTTGTTGGCCAAAAGTTTTCAAAGAGACCGTGGTTACACCTATATACAAAAAAGGAGATAACCTTTCAAAAATATTCGAAAAACTATTAAAGAAAAGATTATTGTCCTATCTTGAAAAATAGAATATTATATCTAACAAACAATATGGTTTCAAACATAAAGTATGTACAGAAGATGCTATTTTAGCAGTCACCTCAAAGATATATGGTGCCTTGGATGAAAATAGTCCTGACCTCTGTGCATTTATCGACTTACCGAAAGCGTTCGATACTGTCAGTCATGAGTTACTTTTACAAACACTAGAGGACATAGGTATCAGAAGGAATTGCATAAAGCTTTTTGAGAGCTATTTATCTAACCGTACCCAGATTGTTAGATTAGATAATGAAGTGAGCGACATAAGAATGATTGAATACGGAGTGCCGCAAGGCACCGTTCTAAGACCTATACTATTTAATATTTACATCAATGAGATGTTTTCGGTCCAATGCAGTGGAGACATCTTTGGATTTGCAGATGACACCGCTATATTTTACAAAGCAGACACTTGGCAAAATCTCGAATCCACCGTAGAGACTGACCTACCAAATATAATGAGATGGCTCCAGCACATGTTGTTAACAGTAAACTGGGAAAAAACATGTTATATCCCCTTTACATGCAATAAATCTACGAAGCCATCGTTTAGTGATATAAGTGTCAGTATAAATGGGAAACAACATTCAATGAAGCCAGAAAAAAGTGCTAAGTACCTTGGCGTGATTATAAATGATCTGAGGTGGCATAAACATACAAACTTCATCTGTAAAAAGTTGCGTACAGTTCTCTCAAAACTCCGATGCATAAAAAAAATATTGACAACCTACCAATTGAAACCTTATATCACGCTTTAGTGGAAAGTCACATAAGGTACGGCATAGTAGCATGGGGAGGAGCTTCGAAGACTTATATCTTCCCTGTTGAAATACTTCAAAAAAGAATATTAAAACTAACATAATCCAGAGAGCCAAGATTTCCATCTGATCGTTTATACAGTGAAACTAACAACCTGGATATTCTACAGACATTGTTTCAAAATTGCCACTAAATATCACTGTAATAAACAGGTCTCTACGCTTCCAATACACCCATATTCAACACGGCAAAAACACCACCATGTCGTACCATTTCTACAAAAGTGTGTATTACTGCGTTCATATACTTATATTGCTCCTAAACTGTACAACAGTCTTCCACCACATCTGCAATGCATCAACAACTTGGCGCCATTCAAGAAAGCGTTGAAGCAAGTCATTTTAAACCAACCAAGAGGATCAATAGAGAATTTACTACATTAGCAATCTGTTGTAGTGTAATTATGAATCTGTATATTTGTTATGTCTGTGTGATGGGTTTCTTTTATTAGCCTCTTTTTTTTGTTAGTATTATTTGTGCGGTATTATGTTAAAGCGTTTTAATCATTCTTATTTTAATACCATTTTAGCTTACGATATACTATACAGAGTGTCCGCAAAGTTGGGGTTTTCCTTTTCAGAAACAACTACCCTTGAAGTAACAAGTGTAATGTGTAGTGAAACGAGGGCGACCAAGTAAAAAAAAATAAAGGAAAAAGTACTCACTCTCCAGTTGACGAGAAGGGCTAAGTACGTCTCTGCCTGAAATCGAAAGTTATTCACCCCATTACGCGTGAACGTAGATTCGTCTGTCACCAATATGCACTTCAAAAAGTCCGGATTATTGTCATGTTGATGCAACAACCACTCACAAAACCGCACTCTTGCTGGAAAATCGTCAGGTTGAAGAGCTTGTACACGTTGGACGTTTGACACACTTTAGTTTTTGATACTTGCACTTCTCTAGCCACGACTCTAGTGCTTGTTGAGGGATTCTCGGTTACGCGATTCAGTTGTTCTTCCTCAACTTGCACCATTCGTGGTTGTCTAGGCCTCCCACTGTGCCCACCTCGAAATTCCTCCAAATGGCCCGTATCCCTGACTCTCTGGACCAGGTACACAAATCTGCGGGGCCTTGGATGATGTCGTCTAGGGAAACGATCTGCATACACTCGCGACGATTCTGTAGCATTCTGAAGACATTCGCCAAAAAATAACAACATATCAACGAGTTCATTATTGGTGTATGAGTGTGCCATTGTTATTATTTTTTTTTTGAAACGCAATCGATTATATGGGTTCGTTACCTCTAAACGCGTGACCCTTTACCGTCGGTTGAAGATTGCATACTGACCTGACACACTGAGCCCGACCCCCGACCCAGTTCTGTCGTCGGGTTCAGCTAGTAGCCGGTACCAGTCTGGGATATCGCGGCGAGTCGCGGCTACAGGACGGTATTCAGATATGTTTGATGTTGCAGAGCCCTTTATCTCGATTCCCTTAAGACATTGGTGTATATGGTACTAAGAAAAATTGCTTATGTTTTCAAGATCTACACGTCGTGTAAAGGAAAACCCCAACTTTGCGGACACCCTGTATATGTACGTAAGATTACAATGTGTTTTTAGTATAGATATGTTTCTTTTTATGCCGAAACAAGTGTTATTTTACACTTATCGGCTCATGCTTTATTCATTCATTTTGTTTTTATATCAACTTTTTTTTCTGAATAAAGCGTATTGAATTGAACTGAATAACAGAGAAGCCCTACAAACAACTCATTCACAGTCAAAATCACGAAAGATGACTATTACGTCATATAAAAAATTATACTGAAGTAATCATATATTATGATTTTGCGAAGTTAGGTTATTTCACTAATTATTTTTATTTTCATTTTATTTCATAGTTTTAATAATAATTTTAGTGGGAAGTTTTTGTTTTGAAAAAAACAGTTATGAGTAGAATACACCCTTAGACAGGAACACCAAAGACCAAAGAAAACAACCTAACCTGCTTTAACATAACCTAACTATTCGTCTTTAAAATATGATCGATCATGCAACATGAAAACATCATCTATCTTTGTCGGATACATGCAAATTAGCAATAGAGTTTGTTTAGACAATAAAATTATGTTTATCTCTGTCTAACATATCTGAAACTTCATTAAAAATATAGACAAATCGCTGTCGATTGTCTTCACTACAGACTAAAATGATGACGTAATCGTCACCTTTAGTGATTTCGACTATACATAAACTTACATTAGCCTTGCTCCTGTAAAATTAAATTGTCCAGATGTATTCCCTGGATAGAATAAAGTCAGCAGATAATCTCTATTCTATCTACGTCTGATTACCAGGGTTTGGCGGTGGAACAAAAATCAAATCCAAGCGGATAACCAAAATTTCCGTATTATGTACCGCGGTTATAATATGGTTCAAGATGACACACGGGATGGTGACGTCAGTTACTCGAATCGCTTGAACGCGTTGGTTTTAACCGCGGTTTGTTGCAAGTTGTTTATTTTAGAAAAGCGCGTATATGATTTCTGATTATTTTTATTATCACTTAATAATCGATGCTTTTTCGTCTACAACGGGGTATGGAAAGTTGAAAAAAAGAAAACTTTCATAATATTAATGGGAGGAATGTTTTTTTTCCGAAAAAAATTGAACTGATGGAACCATGGCTTTGTAGCTATGATAACTTTCAATTCTCTAAACTTTTCCGCATGTCAAAGAAAATATTTATTGAAAGAGATATTAACAAAACCGTATACAGGTGGACATCATCCAGTGAGTTTATACGGCCATATTTTAATATTCTTGTGGTATATGGCTATACAGGATACTTTTTTAAGTGTGGGAACTAGATTTAAAGTGTCCCCAACAACAGGGATGATTATAAATAATAAGGTGCTCTCTTATGCTAAAACTGAAGTCAGCCTGTATCAAGTTTCCCAAAAATGAAGCTGAAGTACAATAAAAATATCCAATACCCGGCAAAATTCTAACTTGTCACATGTCAAATAATAACCAGAAGTATAAAACTACTCGGGAGTTGGGTAAATGCTACAATTTTGCGGTGATAACTATGACATATAACAGCTGATTCATGACGTCACGGATCTTATAACCAAACTGATAACAACACTCGCTTGAACGGATCGGTAAATACCAATCCAAAATGGTAAATACCCGTTATGTTCGAATAAATACTTCCTTCAAATATATAATCTATACACATTTTTCGAAGGGATCCACAGGAACTCGAGATTAATTTGGTCACTTCGGCTTCAAGGTTTACATGAAAAAACTATTTTGAGTATGATAAACGGTATAATTTACGTAAAACAAAAATGCCATCAGTCTTATTTTGTTTGTAATTGCACTACAATATAAATATGTTGGAAAATCAACTAACCATTGCAAACAACATTACGCCTCAAGTTCTGTACCCATTAAAACTTGTCAATATCTCATTTGAAGCTTATTACATTTATATCCTGTGAGCTGGCAACACCGCAACCCAGGTGACAAGATTGACAAGGTCAGCTGTCAATTCTAATGTCTAGCACCGGTATTTGTTTTGGTTTTGGGGTTATGACCTATTGTGGATGTGGATTATTGCTGTGATTTTGCCGGTTGTCCTAGTATTATATCTGGCATATAGCTGGCTTTCCGCATATATGTTTTCGTGGTCGTTTCTGATTCTCGTACATAATGTTACTGCAGCAAGTCAGTTTTCGAAGTGTGTCACTCAACAATTTGTTAAAAAATCTCAATTTGGGCTCTGTATCAGCAGCCCGGTGGAACAGTTCAAAAAAAGATATAATTTTAGGCATAGAAACTTCCTGTGATGATACCGGTTGCGCTTTAATAGACACTGATGGAAATCTTCTTGGCGAAGCATTGAATTCACAACATTTAATACATCTCAAGTAAGTCAAGATACACGTTTATTTGCTGTACAGAAAATGTCGTACTTTAATATGTATGATACATGATAAGACATTGTCATGCTACAGCTCCGACATTTATATTATTCTTATTGTCAATTTATATACAGAGTGTCCCAGAAGTCGACGTCAAACCTGGAAACAGGGAATAGGCCATGTCATATAAGTTATCATAAAAATATAAAAAAAATCTAAGTTGTGTATTTTTCAAATTATAGGCTTTAAAAAAAATCAGAAAAATATACACCCTATAATGATGTAGTTCCCATTATTACAAATTTCATGTTTTTTTAGACAGAGTTGACATACAGTGACTTTCTATGGAGTCACAGCAAGACAGATAGTAACTCCACTTTTGTTAATTCATGGTTTTGTAGTGCCACTGCAACATGCACCTCATTTATGGGGAATGTAGATGCAGTGATAGTGCTGCAACTATTCTTTATCATGAAAGGTACCCAAATGCTGATTGTCATCCTGATCTCTAAGTTTTTGTGAATGTCCAGCATTTACTCTTAGAGGGGAGATTCCCAATTCAAGCACATGGTGAAGGAACTATTTCCTCTCCTTAGGAGGATGTTGTACTACAAACCATCGAAGAAGACCCGAGTATTTCGGTACATAAAACAGAAGCAAGCAATGAAGTTCCTAAAAATACTGCCCACCAAATCTTGCAAAAGAATGAGCTCCATCCATACCACATACAGCGAGTAGTACAATCTCTCTAACCCCAAGATTATCTTAAAAGAGTTGAGTTTTGTGCAACATTGTTACAGAGACACAGGAAGATCCGCGATTTTTAGAGATAATTTTGTGGACTAATGAGTCAACATTTAAAAAAAATGGTTACATCAATCTACACAACTTATGCAAGTGGCATGTAGAAAATCCACATTTGATGAGACAAGATAGATCTCTCGGTATTGCTTTAAAGTAAACATGAGGACTGGGATTCGAAATGGGAGAATCATTGTATGCTTTGAGTTGCCAGAGTTCTTGAATGGCGAAATTTATTTACACTTTTTACAAAATCATTTACCAAATTTATGGAAGACATGCCTCTAAGCATTTACAGAAATATCTGATAGCAGCTTGATGCGGGATATTTATTTATCAATTTTATTTCCTCTTGATAAAAAACATCGTCTACTAAGAGACATATGTTTTCAAATCTAACAAAAAACAGTCAAATAGTGAAAAATAAGATTTGACGGCATATATCACAATATTCTTCCACACTGTAAAATTTATTTTCAATTAAATAGTCTTTTAAGAGATTCTTAAATGTTTTTAGTCTGTGGCAATTATTTATTTCGAAGGGCATTTTTAGGCCATTACTAAACTGGTGGACAGTTGATTTGCAAGATGAAGAATTTTACCCAAATTCAAATCTCGATATTTTCGGAACGGAAAGAGATATCGAGTTGCGGTCTTCGGGAGGTTCTTGACCAACTCTTTGAGAACACGTACAGGGTTCGACCGGTATATTTCTTTTATTTATACACTTATACAGGGTGAGCGAAGGAAATAAAGTTTTTTTAGCAAAGTTTGTGGCTGTCAGATTCTCAACTTTTGATCTTAGAAATTTTTCTATGCCTCTTTTTGATCTTGGGACTATCCTAAATAAGGTAATTTCACAAATTTTTCGAAAGTTGGCTATAACTCAAATTATCATCCTTAAAAGAGACTTTTTTGGAGTTTCTCTTGAGAATAGGTATTCTTTCTCATACCGTGCATAAAGTGGAATTTCTTGCGCCCGAATAAAAATTGAAACACTCATAAACGTGGCATGCAGTAAAATTTGCTACTTTGACGCTATGTAATTTAAACCAAATTTATAAATTTTACTATGCAATTAAACAGCTAATGAACAAATCCAAGTTACTACTCTTCATATAGGGATGTATGTCAGTAGCATAACACCAAAAGCATTTTTTGTTTTGGTAAGAAGTGCTAATAACTTAAAACTTTTTCTTTTTCGAAATGCTATGATTTTAGCCGACACTGCAATTGATCTTATATCTAGTATTTTTTATCTTTCTCATTCAGCTTTGGCGTACCAGTCTTCATTGGAGATATTTTCCAATAAGTATGACAATATAATAAGTTTAAACATCATAGAATTTATTGATTAACATTAACAATATTAATAAATTCTCGTGATATATTCTTCCTGAATGGCCTCACATGGCTCTTCCATTGTTTGAGCAGCATTTTGTCTTGACTGCACTACAAATTTTAGCCGAGACCACACATGCTCAATTATGTTTATAAGTTTATAACCGTACGAGCTCTGTGCGGCCTGGCGTTATCATCGATGAAGACAAAATCTTGTGCAAAAGGTACAACAATATTGTTTAAAATGTTATCAATGTAAACTGCAGCATTGACTGTCCTGTTTGAAATAAAACGTTCGGTTTCACCATTGTGGATGACCCTAGCCTAAACAGTAATCCCACCTCCACCACACGCCTCTTGTGGAGCCATGTTTTCTTCATCATATCGTTCCCCAGCTAGCCGCCAAACAACGACCCTACCATCAGAGTGTTATAGGTTGAAGCATGTTTCATCGAAAAACATGCAATTTTGCCGCTGCTGATGCCAACTTACCTACTCCTATGCCCATTGGTACTTGGCAGCTCTATGGTTGTTCAAGAGTCTGGTAAACTTCGCGCGGCACCTCGCTTTCGAAAAAATTCTTCTTTAAAAAATTACCTATCAATGTTTTTATAACTTTTACATACAAAATCAACAAAATAGAATTTAAAGTTCTTTTTACAGTTACAGTTACAGTTTACGATTGGATGCTATTATTCCACTGTGCCGCCATAAGTTTTCATTCAAGGTTCTGGATGAAAGGGTCATCCTTCACCTTACTTCCTGCAATAAATGTCTTTCGGTCAGACCTCGTATTTTTTTGATTATTTCCACCATTTCCACTTTTCCCCGGTATCCTGATATCTACGCCTCAAACAGCATATTGAGGATTGATCAACATTATAAATTAAAGCTACATCTTTCACTAAACGGCCTTCTCCCAATAATCTTACACAATTCTCTCGTTCTTTTTGAAAAAGACGAGGCATTTTTGAGAAAATAAAATCATACTGTCAAGTCTACACTCAATATTATTGTTACTTAGCAATTGCATGTTTGAGGTGTAATAGGTTGTTAGGATGAAACCGGAGAAATGTCCTATTTGCATAGAGAGGGTAATCCAATAAAATACGAGCTCGAGCTGAAAGACATTTATTGCGGGAAGTTAAAAATTCGATAATCTGAATTATAGCCAAGTTTAGAAAAATTTGAGATATCGCTTTGTTTAGGTTAGTCCAAAGATCAAAAAGATGCAAAGAAAAATTTCCAAGATCAAAAATTGAGTATCTGACATAGCCCCAAACATCGCTAAAAAACCTTACTTCATTTGCTCACCCGGTATAAGTGGATAAATAAAAGAAATATAACGGTCGAACCCTATACGTGTTGTCAAAGAGTTGGTCAATAGCCTCCCGAATACCGCCACTCGATATCTCTTAGCGTTCCGAAAATATCGCGATATGAATTTGGGTAAAAGTTTCCATGTTGCAATACAACTGTCCACCTGTTTATTTGGGCACATGATTTAAATTGTATAGGGTAGTATATAAAGGTCTTCACTAATCCCGGCGGTTTGGTACAATTTCGTGGGCCAGCCTGTGTTCTGCTGATATGATTTTTTTTACTGGGGAACGGTGAAAGAAAAAGTGTATTTACATCTAATCGAAAATTTAGTTGAGCTTCGAGATATAATAACGGAAGCATCTGAATGTGTTAATAATGGCAGATTCGCCCGTCTGATAACCCGCTCATTTTTAAGAAAATGCTAAGCTTGCGTTGCTGCTGAATGAAAGCGTTTGAACATTTATTATGAATTTAATAAATACATTCACGAATTAATAAAAGTGTAGTTACTATCTTGCTGTCACTACGTAGACTGACACTGTCTATCACTCTGTTTAAGAAAACCACTTTAGGCGCTTATCACGAATATTTCATTTAGTAGTAGTAGAAACATTTATTTAGCACGTGTGGCTACATAAACAGAATAATTGTAAATAATTTAGAATTGTAGATTTAACGAGTGATTCCTCAATTTTACTTTGAATTTTGTCTGGCCTTTTATTACAAAATGAAAGATTTGGATGTATGTGACTTGAACGAAAATATGATTTTCAGCACTCCAAATTTCAAAATGGCGGATTAAGGGGTTGCCGAAGTGGACGGTTTTTCTGGACAAAACACCTTACATCTCAGTAGATAATTACCAAAACCCCCATAGTATGTTATATCAATCTTCTTGTGTGCCCTCAAATGTTATGTATAACATCCCATAAATAGATTTTCCCAAAATGTATTTGTTTATGAGTAATATTCCATCCACACATGGATGGGCCACCCTGTATATCCCCGTGACTGGCACTATAGGCGCATTTTTTAATTCACCCGGTGAGCCACCGGTGCAACCAAAATTTCCGTCTGAGCGACGGGTCGTACACCAAACTTCTCTACGTATATAAACTATATAGACAAGTTATAGACAAGTTTGGTGTTCAACCGGTCGCCCAGATGGAAATTAAAAAAACAAAAATTGATTAATTGCTTGCACCGGTGGCTCAACCGGTGAATTAAAGAATACGCCTAATTATCTTAGAATGGACGAAGAGACGTATTTTAACCTTTTGTCTCTTGTATCACGTTTGATTCAAAAGCAGGATACGATCATCAACGGACTCCAACTTGTGCAAGCTCGAAAATCTAGGGCACACACGTACCGTTTTGTTTGCGCAAGCGCGCCTAATTCAAGCAAGCATAATTAAAATCAATTCAATCCCCAAGCTGCTTGTACAATTACAAAGCTTGCACCACATTTCCCTACAGACATTCAAGCGTAATTATATAAAAAAAACATTGAAAAAACATGCTGGACAAACTTGCAGTTGTGTCTGTAGCCACCTTTAATGAGTTTAATTAATTTATGTACTATTCTACTGCGTCAACAAACATACAGGGCGGCCCAACGAAAAGGTGGCACCCCCATTTGTAACTCTCCAGGTATATTTTGGGAAACCCAACCTTCTATAAAAATCGTCCTCATAAAGCTCATGGACAAGTTTTATCTTGTACGGGTGAAATTTATTGTCTTTCAAAATTCTTTGTACTGTTGAGCGTGTAAATCCTGAACTGGCCAGTCCAGGAGTGCTTTGCGTGTTGTCAAGTGCTTCGTGACCCAAAACTGCTATTTCTGCGACTTCATTTCTAACTGGTCGTTTATCTCGATGGCGATTACGGCTAATATTAGATACAGATCCAGTTTCTTCAAATTTTCTTATCAACTTAGCCACATACTTATCATTAATATATTTGTCCGGATATAACGCATTAAAAAACGGGGCAGTAGCTCTTGTAATGCTCCCATTTTGGTAATACAGTTTTGTTATTTCTACCCTTTCTTGAATGGAATAAGTCATTGTTTAATATGTATCACAGCTAGGTAGGTAATTTGAAATGATAGGCAAAGTTTTTCTATGACATACGATGACACTGACTGATGCTAAATGCTCTTGCTGGTATCCATGCTTTTTTTTTCGTGCATTCCATTATTGTCAGTATAAAGTTAGTCAAATATTTTCATAAACTCAAATAGCTTCAAAAAGATTGAAGATATGTATAAACTTTATTATACAAAAGTAAAAAAAAAATGGGGGTTTCTATTTAAAAATCTAAAGTGTAATGCAATATCTTATTTTTGGATCACCCTGTATTGTACTGCTATAGATGAAAAGGCGTCCCCTAGAAATCAAAAATGCGAGCGTTTTTCCCAAAATATACCAGGAGAGTCACACATAGGGGTGCGACCTTTTCGTTGGGCCACCCTGTATAAGATAGTGTGGCTGATGCTTGTAGATTGGCAAATATTCTGGTAAATGTAATTTCTTCTCGTTTTTCAGTAATGGTGGTATAATACCACCAATAGCCCAAGATTTACATAGGAAGAATATAGAGAGAGTTGTGGAGGAGGCAGTAGATGCAGCAAATGTTCAGTTTGAAGATATTTCTGCTATAGCTACTACTGTTAAACCAGGTATGTTTCATAACACATAGGACTTACTTAATAATATGAATTCAACCAAGGATCCAAGCAAATTGCTAAAATATAATTATAATCTTCTGTATATGCCTTCATTCCTTGTGATCTGTTTCCCATTCACTAGTCTCATTGATCACCATTCTTCTCCATGTGAGCCTGGTTCTTCGTTATTTTGAGACAAGATATAATGAGGTTTAGGATGAGACCTTACCTGGTTAATGATGCTCTTCGAAATTATTTGGCCGTATGGTTTTTTGTTCTTGGCAAACGAATCAATCGTCTGTTTATCTTTTTTATTGGAACGGAAGGGGTATTACGTATCTTGAAGTGACATTACGTGGGTTTTTTTGACATTATTAGGTTTTTTGTGACATTATGTAGGTTTTTCACAAGATGTCAACTTAGCACTAGCTGTTAAACAGGGTGACCAACTAATAATGCGAAGTACGGTATCTGGGATCATATCCATCGTCGAGGCTTGCAACAAAAAAGTTATCATTAAAATGACTAAGAGAAAAACCTGGAAAACATTTTCAAGTTTCTGAAATGGCCGCTAGGGGGCGTTACTGCAATCTCTAATCTAAAAAAGAGGGAACAACATCGAAGATAAAATTTGTTTTTCGAACATCTGCGGGATTAACAGCAACATTGATGCTGTTTATCACTACCTGCAATCCAATCGTCCCGCCGTGCTTTTCTTGGCGGAGACAAACATCTCGGAGTCTGCACCGATTAACCATCTTAACTTCCCAAACTACGAGGTGCACTCCAATCTGTGAAAGAACGGGGGAGTTGTGGCTTTTGTCCGCAGCAGTCTTTCCTGCTCCAGAGATGCTTCTTTGGAATCAGACCGGAAGGACATTCTGTGGCTTCGCCTCAACTCCAAAACATCACCCAAGTTTATTTGCTGCCTTTATCGCTCTCTCTCGGACCATAACTGGGATGACCTACTCGAATACCTCGCCGTCCAGATCGACTTCCTGAACATCAATCATCCCGCTTCAGAGGTAGTTCTTCTCGGTGATTTCAATGCCCATAACGAGCTTTGGTTGGGCTCAAACAAGACCGACGCAGCAGGTCGTGCAGTCGAAGCGTTCGCTCTTACCCAAGGGCTGACTCAGCTGCTGCTGCTGTCCTGTCCCCCCTGCGTAACTCAGACCACGGTGTTGTGGAGGTTAGGTTTCGGTCAGAACCCGCTGTGGCAGCAGAAACTCGTACAGGCCGCAAAACTTGGCAGGACATGCCGACTGGGAGGGGCTCAGAGATTTCTTCTCTAGCTTTTCTGGGAAAGATGTCTGTCTCACTGACGCGGATGCGTCGGCTGTCTGTTCTTCGATAACCGAAATTATCCACGTCGGAATGGAGGAATACATCCCTCACACAGTGAAAGTGCCTAGACCAGGGTCCAACGGCTGGTTTAACAAATCGTGTGACGCTGCTCGCCAGCAGAAGATCAAGGCACACAGAACCTTCTTACAAAACCCCACTGTAGAGAACAGATAAGCCGACGTTGAGTCCAGAAACAAATATAAAGCAGCGGTTCGCAATGCCAAAAACCAGCATGATATAAAAGTTAGGCACAGGGTAATGTCGCAGCGCAATGGCAGTCGGTCTTTCTGGACGCTGGCCAAGCAGATTGAAAAGAACTTCTCATAGTAGCCTTCCACCACTTACGTGTCAGGATGGAACTATTGTATTCAACTCAAAGGCCAAGGCGGAAGTGCTAGCCAAGATCTTTGCTGCCAACTCCACCAACGCCCAAGTGCCGTCAATTCAAAGGGTTCCCTACACTATGCGGGAGGTAACATTCAGGCATAAGACCGCAAGACGAGCACTCTTGTCGCTCGACATCAACAAAGCTTCTGGTCCGGACTTGATTCCTGCCATTGTACTGAAGAGGTGTGCACCGGAGCTTGCTCCAGTTCTTTCGCGTCTCTTCCAGATATCGTATAAATCCGGCACCTTCCCAGAAAACTGGAAATTTGCTCATGTCCAACCCATCCCAAAAAAGGGATCTAAGACCGACCCTTACAACTACAGTCCTATAGCTCTGCTTTCTGTTTTAAGTAAGGCGATGGAGAAGTGCATAAATCGCGAGCTTCTGGACTACCTCGAACGTCACGGCTTGATTAGCGACAGGCAGTATGGTGTCCGGCACCAACGATCCACAGGGGACCTCCTAGCTTACGTCACTCAATTGTGGAGTAAACTCATCCATGGTGAGGCTCATGTCGTTGCTCTTGACATCACGAAAGCTGTGGTACGCTGCCCTCTTAAGCAAACTTCCATCCTATGGCCTCCCAGAAAAGCTTTGCAGATGGGTGGCTGACTTTATCTCTGGCCGCAAGATATCCGTCGTAATTGAAGGGTTCTCCTCTTCATCCCACAACGTCAACGCGGGTGTTCCCCAGGGATCGGTCTTGGCTCCGACACTGTTTCTCTTACATATCAACGACCTGCTCTCCTGCACGATCAACCCAATCCACCGCTTCGCTGATGACAGCACTCTACATGCAGGAATTCAGAGTGACAAGCCGATCTCTGCCGCTGAGTTGGAAAAAAGAAGACTAGCGATGACTTCGTCTCTGACGAGAGACCTGGAGGCTATCACTGCTTGGGGACGCAACAATCTTGTACAGTTCAATGCTTCCAAAACGCAGTACCGTACTTTGACGAACAAAAAGCGTCCCTGCGCTCACCCGGTTTCGATGGATGGTCGAGTTCTGCCAAAGAGCCATTCATTTCGGCTGGTCGGAGTCCAGATCACCGAGGACCTGATCTAGCACGAACACATCTCGTCAGTAGCTGCAGCTGCTGGGAAAAAGCTAGGCTATTTGTTTAGGGCTAAGAAGTACTTTTCTCCGCATGACCTTCTCACTCTATACAAGGCCCAGATAAGGCCTAGCCTCAAGTATTGCTCGCACTTTTGGGGTGCTGCCGCCCCGACTACATTATCTATGCTCGATGCTCTCCAGAGGAGGGCGGTACGACTGATCGATGACTCTTCTCTAACACACAGTCTCGGGACTCTTTCGCACCGGCGGGCTGTCGGCGATCTGGCTCTTTTCTACCGTCACACCAACGGGCTTTGCTCCTCAGAGCTCTCTTCCATGATGCCGTCGCGCGATGTGCCTGCCAGACAGACCCGCCTAACTTTGGCGTCCCATCATAACCGTGTCGAACTTCGTACATCCAGAACCGGCCGATACGACCGCTCCTTTGTCCCGAGGGTGTCGAGATTGTGGAACAATCTACAAGAGGAAGCTTTTTCCAATTCTATTAACCTTAGGCAGTTCAAAAATCGTATTAATAATATTTCTTTGGGATCATCATAGCAGCCGCGGTGTTCCGGCATTTAGGCTTCTGCCTGCGCGGCTGCTTCGATATAAAAAAAGATGTTTCTGTAAACCCCTCTATATTAACCTAACCAAAAATACCTGATATATAAATTCGACGATAATGCTGTATCTCTAAAAATAAAGTGGTGGGGCGCATTCAAAGGTTTCCGTAAAAAGTTTTGTTAGTTTCACATGTAATCGCTAGAGGGCTTTTTTCTACATTCCGACAGAAATGGTTAATTTTCTCAAAAACAAATTAAATGCATTGGTATGATATTTTTATGAAAAAGTAGCTAAATGGTGTCTAAACAAGTTGGCGAAATCCGCATCTCGATATCTTGTTAATAATCTAAGCTTTAGGCCAAAGAAAATTTTATACCCTTTATTTTTATTTTTTAAACTAATTTTTCTGGAATTTCCTTTTTTTATAAAGTTGTGGCCCTAAAAAGGACCGATTTAAAAAAGAAATGTTTTAAATGCCCCCGTAAATGCTCAAAATGCTGACCATCACGCTATATGCATTCCTGAAGCCTCTCATCGGTAGAAAAACTGCAGCTATGGGGTAAGTCTGAAACACGATGCCCTTTAACCGCCCCCATAAATGAGAATCAAAACAAGTTAAGTCTGGTGATCGCGAAGGCCATGGAAACAGACTTCCTCTTCCAATCCACCGCTGTTGAAATACTGCACTAATATGCTCTCGCACAATAATTGCAAAATGTGGTGGGCAACCATACCAAGGTTTGTTAGCTCACATGTGGCTGCTAAAGGACCTTTTTCAACATTCCGACAGAAATGGTTAATTTTCTCAAAAACGAAAACCGCATCTCGATATCTTGTTCTTAACCTAACGTTTAGGCCAAAGAAAATTTTATACGGATATCCCTTAAATTTTTATTTTTTAACTAATTCTTCTGGATTTTTTTTATTCCTCAGAATAAAATCACCCTTTTTGAAAACATTACAAAATATCGCTAAAAAGAAAGTAATAGTAATAGGCATATTTTTTGTTTAAATGCATCTTCACTGCATATACGAAAAAGACAATTAATAGAAGCAGGCCATGGAATACAACAAAACAAATACCTAATCAAAACATAAATAATTAATTAATAAATTTTCAATAGTTGTCAATAGTTTCACATTACTTTGAGCAATTTTTGTGCTTACCAAGTGCGTTTTATGAACGATGAAGCTCTTGATATGCTTGCAGTTGTTTTGAATGTCTTCAGAGTGCCGCAGTGGAAAATAGAGTTTACGCGACTCGATATCCAAATCGGCGTCTTTGCGATGTGAGAGTTTTTCCCCGATTAGTGGCGAGCTTACGCGCCAATGGTAGTTTTCGGCCTACGTTTCAACGGCAAAGAATTGGAAGAACACAAGAAAATATTAACCGCTTACTGGGGTATATTGAAGGAAAACCTCATGTTATCACACATCCCTTGAGTTGGGCATAATATAACGAAAAACGGTTCAAAATATTTTGAAGGACCATAGGCCATCAAAATATAGGGATTTATTCAATTTTAACTTTTTTTAATTACTTTTAGAATGCATCCATACCATGTTGTTTTGCAGCAGGCAGACTTTGATCGGAGGTTGGACTATTGCCATTGCCACCTTTAATAGTGACGGGAGAGTCAATCTGCACAATATGCATTACTGCTCTGCAGAAAATGCGCATTGGTTGCGTGAAGTTCACCATCAAGGGCGTTGGAGTTTAAATGTGGATGAGGCATACTTTGAGGCAGAATTATTGGACCATATTTTATCTCTTTTTTGTCTTTCTTGACTTTTTGGACAATCAATTACCGTTGTTGTTGGAAGATGTGCCACTGAAAACACGACAAAACTTCTTTTTGCAGCTGTATGGTTGCCCACCACATTTTGCAATTATTGTGCGAGAGCATATTAGTGCAGTATTTCAACAGCGGTGGATTGTAAGAGGAAGTCTGTTTCCATGGCCTTCGCGTTCACCAGACTTAACTTGTTTTGATTCTTATTTATGAGGGCAGTTAAAGGGCATCGTGTTTCAGACTTAACCCACAGCTGCAGTTTTTCTACTGATGAGAGGCTTCAGGAATGCATATAGCGTGATGGTCAGCATTTTGAGCATTTACGGGGGCATTTAAAACATCTCTTTTTTAAATCGGTCCTTTTTAGGACCACAACTTTATAAAAAAAGGAAATTCCAGAAAAATTAGTTTAAAATATAAAAATAAAGGGT